TTGACATGGATTTATAAAGTTGAATCAGGAGTGCATGCATATATATGTATGTATATATAGAGATCCCATTTGATCATTTGGCACCCCAGTGATAAAGAACTTCCAAAATCACGAACATTGATGTAGAGTATCAAATTTGCATCTTTGCACTAGAAGCATTAATAGCAATGAAGGCAAGCAAAGTGGAAGTTTGGGGGTAGTAGACGCTAGTAACTGACCAAGCCAATGTGACTGGGAGTTAAAGGGAGAGAAATTGGGACCATATTGGACCATTTAAGAGTGGTTTGCTTACAACTTTGCCAAAAGTATCTTCAAACACCTGCACAAAGATGAAAGTCAGATGGCATATACCTCATCAACCTCAGCTTCTGTTTGGGAGAATTCCTGAATGTTATTATAATACCCTTGGTAATGGTAAGATCTAATTTGCCATGATATAGAGCAGGTAACGAAACTAGTGAAAGACAATTTGTGGTTCCATGATCTCTTAAGAAACTTTAAAATGAGAGAATACCCAAAACAAGCTAGTGGAAAGATACAACCACCATTACGAGATTGGTTCTTTAGTTCACTATTATAATGGGTGTTTATATAAGAGCATATCGAATGGAGTCCAACAAAAATGTTTACATGAGAAGGAAGATCAAAAGGCCATTGGGAAAAAAATCACGCTAGAGCCGGTTGATTGCATATTAAATGAATAGTCTTAACTAAGATGTTGTTCATCGTACTTTTTCCTGGTTGAGCATGAAAAATGATATTGTGAATTTTGTTAGAAAATACCACGAGTCATCTTGGCCCTTCACTTCTCAGGGAATAGACATTATTTGGAAGGTAAAGCCAGCATCCTCAAATGAAAAGAAGTATATAATAGTTGCAATCGATTTCTTTCCCTTTATGAATTTAAGCAAATCCTTTCAACAATTTGGGAGATAAGCAAATCAATAACATTTATTGAAAGACATCTAATTGCAAATATAATGTTCCTGACCACATGCTTGCCAAAAGCTTTGACACACAACAAATCTTGTCACTCATACCAGTCGAGAATCAAATCAACCATGATATAAACTGAATTGCTAAAAATAGAAAGGCTAACAGAATGACATAGACTAGAGTTACTAAAGCCAAAAACGCTAAAAAAAGACATAATTCAAAGTTATCTAAGGCCAAAAGCTTCAATGCCACCAAATGCCATGACTAGAAAGTTTTTGAAAGATCAAAAGAGTGAAATTATGACAACAAACGAGAAGCTACTGAAGGCCAGAATGTACAATAAGTAGATCTTACCCAAGAATTGTTAGGTGGTCTCAATGGGAGTAAATGAAATACAACCCTAGAAGGTGTATCTTCTTGGCATCCTTAAGTGCTTTTATTTTATGTTCTTGCTTACGCTTTTGGCAACTTATTTTTAAAACTGTTTTTAGAATGAAAGAAGATAAACTACATCAAAGTGATGGCAAACTATAAGCACTGAATTCTACTGCACAAACGATAAAGAAATTCAATGATAATGCCCAACACAATCTGTCTCCAGGAAACAACGGTTCAACAAATGCTAAGTCAAGGAAAACTCAAATGTAGAAAACCCCTAGATCAAGGAGAACAAGAAAATTTACTTATCAATAGAATGATCGCATTCCTCTTAGCAGCTACACGCCCCTAACTTGTGGCCACATTCCTAGAGCATGGGACCCACATCCATGGCTGGGGGCATGCAACTATAACAATTCAAAAGTTAGTCGTGTGCCTAGAATAATCAAGTGCATTGCCCTTTTCTTTGGGCACACGCCACTAGCATCAAAAGTATGTATATCCCAGTGAAATTGTGTCTTCACCATTAAAATAATTAGCCTCAATAACACAACCAAATGAAGATAATCATTGAAACAAAACAAGATCGCTATCAATCAAAACTGCTGGAGAACTAATGGAAGAACAAATTGGTCAAGATTTTTGAGGACATTGTGTTTTTTTTTAAAAAGTTAACAATTGCTTTAGGGAACAAAAGTAGAAAATGGAATGCTGACTCCTCTCACAACAACTGTTGTTGAACTTCAATTAGACACTGCTTCTTCCTCTGGAAGTAGGCATGCTTAGCCTTGATAAACATGTTCTATGATTGACGTTCCCCAGCAACAAATCAAGTACCATCCTCAAGGTTGTCATGTACGGTCATCAAGATTGTGATTGCACAATCAAAACTATATCCTCTACAACCATACCTTTTATGATAATGAACAATTTCCTCCTGTCTATCAGCTCTATAGTATGCAAAAGCCTTACTCTAGCATTCTGCTTTCTCACTACCTCCCCAGATTTATGAAGGAAATTCCTATCTTCTTGTTGTTGCTAGATCTCACAAAAACACCTTTTTTTCTCAGATTGTGATTGCTCAAGTTGATGATTGATCCACCTTCCACAAACTCAATATTGAAAGCTTCGGCCTCAACTGCCAATCTCTTTTCACCCCAAGTGATTTTCTTTTCTAGAAGCCTATATAATCCAAGTAGAACTAAATGAATAACAAGGCTGGCACAATAGTAAGGATTACATCTTAAGGTCAAGAAAGAAGGTGATGCCTCAATTTTCTTGAGATTCCATCTTTATCGAATCAATTCTAGTTAAAATAGAGGAAAATCCCCAAATATACTTAAAAATCAAATCATTACTTCATTTCGAACCAATTACTCCATCTTGATGCTAGAGTTGTACCACCACATAAACAAATGATATTGTGGCATCCAAGATGGTACAACGTTTATAAAGCTGCTATTGGAAACAAAAATAAGAGAAAAAACTAAGATTCGAGCAAAAAAAAGGTAACACATTCTGCATTAAAGAACCACAAGAATTACCTCTAGAATGACCTTGTTCCCTCCTTCCTGAAACAATGGTTAATAGTTTGTTGAGAATGACTTACAAGGACTTGAGACAAAATATACATATAACAAATTTTATGTATTTACTCACAAAGTAGTCTCCCCATTCCTTGTCCAAGTAGTGGCGGTCTTTGAAAAACTGAATAAGAAAAAAGATTACGAACCAAGGAAAACCAGAATCAGCATTCCTATTGAAACTATTAAACGTCACTCACCAGCTAGTACTGGATAGAATCAAGGTAGAGATAGTTCGACATTCTGTTCGCAGGCTCAATTTTCTAATGGCCAAGAAACTATCCATTTTAAAATAACTAAGAAATATATAAAAGTGAGATGGATCATTCTGCCTATATTGTAAAACTTGTTTTTTGGACCCCAGAAAAAAGCATTACCACCTATAAATAGCAAATTAGCAAACAAACTTAATAAGAATTTTTTTAAAAAAATAAAACTATGGAAGATATATTGATTTGTCAGCACCAAGAGGATGCCACCCGTGTACACAAGATTTACAAATCAATAAGTATATCTACAAACGAAGAAAGATCTTCTAAACTATCAAGGTTGTGTCCCAATACAATAGTACCAAAAAAGTGAAGCCATAACAAACTTAATAAGAATAAAAACTAACTCTGTCTTGATGTCGCTTGTAAAATATATCCCAGTACTTCTTAGCGTCTCTCTCGTACTTATCTATCAAAGGAAAAAGAAATCAGCATTTCACATGCACGTCCATTAGCATGGCCCAATAAGAAGAAAGAGAGAACCTCTCCAGAAAGAGGAAACTCCAGTGCCAGATGCAGAGTATATTTGCAACTTCTGAGGTGGTTTTTGTTCCACAGACTCTTGCGCACCAGTCGCCATTTGCCAATAAGCCTTTTGGGTTTGTGGATCTTTAATTTTGGATATTTACCAAAACCTTGGTAAATAGATTTACAAAATGAAATCTGCATCAATAGATTTACAAAATGAATACATTACGCAACTGCATGACATAGTTTCATTCTCCACTAAAATAAAACTAAAACTAATCCCACGACTTCTTCTTCTCGCACAGCTAGAAAACAACATACTCATTCACTTCAGGGAGCAACTGTTCTCTAGAAAAACCAATCAACCGAGAAAAATCCAAACACTCCCCTATTAGACGGATAAACGCCTGATTAAACGGTGCGCTTTGGTGCCGAGCGGAAACCCTTCCACAACAGCGAAGACTCTAATGTCCAATACGGTGCCAAACCAATGAATTTGGATGTCTCTTCAATTACCTTCGTATTTTGTCGCAGAGAGCATCTCGTCAAATCAGAAAATGTAACAGTTTCTCGAGAAGAGCACGAAGTCCCGTTAGGTCACTGAATCCACAGTCAATCTGGAATGAAACTATGACCTATTTTGTTTTCTAACAAAGAGAAACAGCGCCTTACAGAAAATATGAAGAAAACGAGAACTAGTGTGGAAAGAGACTGAAGTTTTGGACACTAGAATTTCAGTGTTGTAGGAGGGGTTTGACTCGACGTCAAAACGCACCGTTTAGTCAGGCGTTTTTCCATCAAAAAGGGAGGAGTGTTTGGATATTTCCAAAAAAATGTACATTAGAAAATATGCATATGGCAAAGCGGACACCTCATTATATGAAAAATAAAATTTAAAAATAATATACTTAAGTACAAGGTGAATATAATATATTATATAAATAATCAAAGTCAAAATCAAACAAAATTTCATCAGAAATTTAATTAAAATAAAAATAAAATAAATTTAGCAAAATATTTTGAATTCGAACGAGTTCAAATTTTATATATTTAAAATAAAATAAAATTTAATTGTTACATAACTCACTCGATCTAATACGATATTTATTCTAATTTAATATATTAATTTTTATGATAATTTTAAAAATCTTATATCTCGTTTCTCTTAGGATTTTCTCTTAATACAAATTTTTTCAATTTGTTAATTTATTGCATCTATGTTTCCTCTTAGGTCATTTACTTGTATATTTGACATCCATTTTATTCTTTTTATTATTTTTGTTCCTATTGTATTGTATGTATATATATATCTTTTTGTACGGGGAATAATTATTTTTCACTTTATTATTTTCTTATGTTTGAAGATAAAATTATTTAATTAATGTGTATTTATTTTATTTTATACACGATACTTCAATCTCTTTTTAAATTAAAAAATCAAATCACATGTTACTGATAATTTAAATTTTTAAGTTCGAAAATTGTATCTGATAATTTTAAGTCGATATAATTTTAAATTTTACGGTAAAAATAGTTAAATTATGATATGTGATCTTTATGATAATATCAATAAATATAATAATTTAATATTACAATGTAGTCTATATAACTTATTTTATATTTTTTTAATACTTTTTAAGAATTAAAAATAACAATAAAAATGATAATAGCAGTAAAGAAGAAAAAAAAAAAAAGACAAATATTATTATAGTACTCGGTGTCTTACAATTCTATAGAATATTTAGGTTCAAATGTTACTTATATATATATATATATATGTTATGAAAATTGTTAGACAAATTTTAATTTTTCAACCATTCATTATTTAGAGTTCTAAAATATTTTTATTATTTTTACAAAAATAAAAAATTATATTTTTGAAAGGGTTGCAATTTATTTTTCCTACTTTGTAGGCATATCCATGCTCACACAACACATTAGGAAATGTGATTCCATTAGCCCAACCATGAAAGCAAAGCACAAATATAAAATAATAATAATAATAAAGAAGAAGAAGAAGAAGAAGAAGAAAGTGCAAAGCATGTCTTCATGACAAGGGCAGAACTGATGCTCCAAGTTTAAACTTTATATATTAAGAAAAAATATATAATATATATAGGACATTTATTGTATTTTTTTATTATTTAATTAAATTAATATTTTAAATTTAAAATATTATTTTATAATTTGTTCTTCATATGGGTTAGTGTAAATATAGTTTTTTTTTTTTTTTGAATAAAACAAAAAGGGTTGGTTTCTACTTCAATACCATATTAAAATATTTAAATATCACATCAATACCATAGTCTTGCAAGGAAGGAACCTTTTCTAACTTATTATTTCTAACCCATATAAAATTTCATATACTTGGAAATTAATAAACATTTCACTTTATATTACATGATCTAATTAAATGTAAAAAAAAAAAAATTTAATTAATTGGAAGCATATATATATATATATATGAAGCCTTTAGAAGAGCCTTACATTACACGCTCATGCACCTCATTAACAAAAAGTTTAATAGACAAACCCTTTTGTCTCTAACAATCAGTTGCTATCTCAGATGGGTCAAGCCATCATGAGATTAACAAGAAAATGGCTTCTTACCCTCTTCTTGCTAACTGAGTTCCTGCCTGTAAAGCCATCTACTGATCAAGATAGTCAACCTGCCTTACTATGTATT